TTCTGCTCCTGAATCAGCTGAGTGGGTCTTGCCTCTAGCCTCTTTGCAGGGAGTTCTGCTGAAGGGTTCCCTGCTGGGCCTGCAGCCTGGGTTGAATAAGGATCCGTGGGACCCTGGTTGTCTCACTCACTCACCGGGCCTGTGCTCTGGGTCTGTGCAGGATCCCGTGGTCTGGGTCGTCTCACTCACTCGCTGGACCTGCGCTCTGGGTCTATTCAGGACCCCGCGGGCCCTCGGTTGTCTCACTCACTCGCAGGACCTGCGCTCTGGGTCTGTTCAGGATCCGCGGGTCCCAGGTCATCCCTTTTCCTACTGTTATGGGTTGTGTCTACTTGTCCCCTCAAAGCCTCATGCAGTCCCAGATTTCTTATTTTTAAAAAGAGACATTAACACTAACCCTACTGCTTTTTTTTTTTTTTTTTTGCTTTTTGGAGGAACTGGGGATTGAACTCAGGCCCTGTGCTTGCCAGACAAGCACTTATTCTACTGAGCCATTTCCCTGGCTCCCCTACTGCCTCTCTTGATATTTATCATTACAAGTTAGTTGATACAAGTGACCTGTTGAAAACTGCTGTTGACTTTGTTTATATTGGTGTTACAATAAGTGCTCATTGCAATGAGTTAAAGTTATGAAATGGTTGTATTAAAAGGGTTTTTTTTTTCCCCTTGAATAAATGACAGCTGTCTAAGACTTGGTTTAGTTGTACTAATAAAATTGTGTTACAGTTAGGAAACATTTTAGTAAAGCATATTGTTTTAAGATGTACTTGGTATAGGGTCTCACTATGCAACTCAGACTCACAGTGATCCTCCTGTTTTCAGCTTCCCCTGCACTGGGATTACAGGTGTGCACCACTATGCCTAGTCTTGGTGGCCAAGACCAGCCCAGTGTACCGGGGACAGGGTACACAGTGGTGCAGCATGTGGTGCTGGTAATTGAACCCTGGTCTCCACACTTGCCTGAGCAGTTATCTTGCCAGCGGTGATGCATATTTCTTAAATAATAAAGTTTAGGGATGCTATGTTATGAAGGATGACATGTAGTATATCATTTTAACACCCTGTGGGCATATCTTTCAGGCTAAAAAATGAAGGAAATAAATGCTAATAATTTGAGTAATGTTTCAAGAAAAAGATCTGTATCTATCAGTCTATAAAATAAACTAAATTCTTAAATTTAGCTCATAGAATTTCAGAAATGTGAAAGTTTGGGAAGCATAGGTTAATGGCCATGTTATAGTCACTTGTAGGAGACTAAGAATATATTGTCCGCTGGATTTTATGTCTCTCTTGACTGCTTCATGGAAGCCTCCTAATAACATTAAAACAGTTATTTTTATTTATAACTTATTTGGAAAGCAGAATTTCTACAATGGTCTGCTTTAGATGTACCCCCAAGCTCTGGATGCTGTGGACATGGTGTGACCTTGTCCCCATCGTGTCTGTTGTGATGTGTGACCCATTTTGTATGAACATGGAAGGTTATCTGATGGGTATGGATTACAATGTGTTTTAGTCTCCAGATTCCTTAAAATGCTGTCTCTGAACAGCAAGGGCATCACAGAAATTCAAAGCAGGAATACTTGAGGCTCCATGTCTGTTTTTGAAGACAGGGTGGGGCATAGGAGAAGGAATGTAGGTCGGGCTGGAGAGATAGCTCAGTGGTCTAAGCGCCTGCCTGGCAAGTGCAAGGACCCGAGTCTGATCCCAGGCACTACGTGCCGTACTGCTATGCCAGCCACCCAAACCAGGCATGTTGGTGCACACCTGTAATACTCCTGAGACAGGAGGATCACCATGAGTATGAAATGCAGAGTGAGGGGCTGGAGAGATGGCTCAGTGGTCTAAAGCACCTACTTGGAACAAGCTTGGCAAGGCATCAGGGACCGCGGTTCAATC